AGCACTGGATGCATTTCCTTTAATTAAGATGGAGAAAAGTGGGCTGGCCAGGGCTCCAGCCAAACACCACTGCCCAGGATATCTCAGCAGGGACCAAAAAAAGATGAAAACAGTGAAAACAAAAAGAGAGTGTGGAAGAGGGTAAAGAGCTAGATTTGTTAAAATTACAAATGACATGATTGCAACCTAGAAAAAGAATGCTGTTTCAGTATAAAAACTAATATCAATATATTGAAAACCATCTTCTTTCTTTAGCAGCTCTCTTTAAACAGACACATACACATGGTACATCTGACGTTTGCACTAGCAAATGTATCATGGCACCTAATTAAAAGATATTTCCAGCCTCATGTAAGGAAATTACAAAATTGTACTCATGTGGTGGTATCAGTAAGATAGAGGAATAGCAAACCCCAGACACGGAGACACACACAGATAACAATACACGGATCAACTGTCACACAGAGAAGTTGAGAAATCACTTAAGAGACTGGAACCCCTAACGGATGCCTAATAGGAACACTTGAGACACCTTGCCAGAGGCAATACCCTGGCATTATGTGGCAACATTTTGAAGAAACCCCCAACTCCCGATTTCTTGCGGGGGAGGAAAACTAGGGGAACATCCATCCAACATTCTGATATTCAGGGGAACTACTGGAGGGACAAGTTTCTGTCCTGGGTGAATATAATCACTGAAAGTAAAAACACACCGGGCAGGGGAGCCATTGAAAATAAAGGCCATCAGTGTAACGAATCTCTGCAGTAACACGGGTGAGACACTAGGGGGAGATCCAGACCACCGTTTGCTAGAGCACCAGCCAGGCTGCAGAGTAGCAGGCAGACAACAGGAAAGCTTCTGAGTAGAAAATGGCTCAAATGGCACAATCTGTTCAGTTAGATTATAAGCAAAAGCCTAGAGAGGACACATCCTCAAAAAAGTCTTGAGAGGTCCCCAGAATCTCTAGTTGGGCTACATGAAGCGTGTGCTCCCTGAATGAAGGGAAACAAAAACCGGAAATAAGTGCCTGATCTGTGAAATGCTCAAGTCCCAACAGAAGATAACGACATATACAACACACAAAGGAAACATAACCCACCCATAGGACCAAATTAAATCACCACAAACTGACACTAAAGAAATGAAGATTTTTTGAATTACCATGCAAAGAATTCAAAGTAAGAGCCACAAGGATGCTCAATGAATAAAGAGAACGCACATGGATAATTTCAGGACATCAGAAAAACAATGTACAATATGAACGAAATGAGATTATCAACAAAGTAGCCACTATAAATAAGAAACAGAAAAGAAATTCTCAAGGTGAAAACTATAATAACTGAATTGAAAAACGCACTAGTGGGCCTCAAAAGCTGATTTGACCAGGTAGAAGAAATAAACAGTAAACAAAAAAAGGAGCAAAAGAAAAAACAGAATGAAGACAGCCTAAGGGAATTAGGGAACACCGTCATACGTGTCACCTGCATGTCACAGTAAGAAAAAAGAGTGTAAAAGACAACTATGGTCAAGCACATGCAGACAAATTAGATAAGCTATAAGAAACTGATCAATCTGTAGAAATACATACAACCTACTGAGTCAAAAAGAAATAAAAAATCTACACACACCTATAAGTAGTAAGGAGATTAATCAAAATCTCCCATCCAAGAGACTAGATACAGATGCAAAATTCATAATCACTGCATAATTCTATCAAACTTTTAATGAAAAATTAACACCAATCCTTTTCATTTCCACATAACAAAAGGGAACACAAAAAAACCTCATTCTGTGACACCACCATGACTCTGGCGGTGAAAACAAAACTACACAATGTTCCTGACAAATACTGGTGAAAAAGTCCTCAACGGGCTGAGTGTAGTGGTTTGTGCCTGTACTCCCAGCACTTTGGGAGGCCGAGGAGGAAGGATCTCTTGAGCTCAGGAGTTTGAGAACAGCCTGGGCAACATAGCCAGACCCCATCTCAACAAAAAGTTTTTAAAATTAGCTGGGTGTGGTGGTGCATACCTGTAGTCCTAGCTACTTAGGAGGATGAGGTGGGAGGATCACTACAGCCCAGGAATTCAAGGTTACGGAAAGCTATGATGATGCCACTGTACTCCAGCCTGGGAGACAGAACAGACTATGTCTCTAAAAAAAAAGTAAAAAGTCTTCAGGAAAATACTAGGAAACCAAATTGTACAGCACATTAAAAGAATTATAGACCATGATCAAGTGTGATATACCCTAGGAATACAAGGGTGGTTAGGAGAAGAAAGTCAGTCAATGTAATACACCACATTGACATAGGGAAAGACGGACTAGGAACAGAAGGAAATTTCGGAACATTACATTTGGCAATGATTTCTTGGAGATAACACCAAAAGCGTAACCAGAAAAGCAAAAATACAAAAATGGGGCTATCTCCAGCTGGAAAACTTCTGTCCTCAAAAGATGCAACTAAAAGAGTAAAATGGTAGGCCTGTGTTCTGTCAAAGCAGAAGCAACGTAATCCTGAACAACAACAAAAAATGAAATCCTTTTACAAACTACATAGAAACAACTTATGATATATATTATTTGAAACTTTAAATTAATTGAAGTACCTACAATGTATACCCAAAAATCCAAATGAGTAAGATATACAAACAAAATATTAAACTACTAGATCTAAAAGAATCATACCATTTTGTATCCATGCACTAAGTGAGGTCTTCCAAACCCAGATAAAATACACACACAACAAAAGATGGGGGCTTGAATCACGGAAGAATTTTGTTTCACACTAAAAATCTAGAACTTACAGAAAGACAACCAGGCATATACATGAAGAGTTAAACCACGGACTATAAAATAGCTCTTAATATACAAGAGAAGAAAATGGAGCAACATATGAAACCCATCTTATATATACATATCCACAAAGTAATGAAAGCTCGTGAGACTTGTGAGGAATCAGAAAATGTAGCGGAAAAAAGGATTGTCTTTTTGCCCAGATTTAAAACCTGTAAAAAGAACACAGTAGTAAGTTTTGTTTAATGACGGGGAAGACTCTTGTGTCGCTGGTGGGAGAGGGTACCTTTGCAGCTGAAGTGGAGACGGAATGTTGCCAGATTTAGCAAGGTAGGAAAGGCACCATCCTAGAAGCAATCACTCTTTCAAACGCCCAATCTGGAGGAATCCTCTGACAGCTACAGGGAAGGTGACTTGCTCAGAGGGAGCCACTGTGCCATTCTTTGTAACACTGTGAAAGCTAAAACATCCACCTGTCTTCACTAGCAGAATGCTCCAACAAGGATGTAGAATTCTAGAGCAAGCTAGCCGTAAATGTCTCCTAACAAAAAACATACACATTTTTGAAGCTTGCAGGTTAAAATGTCAAAACAAAGCATTCACTGAAGAACTTTACTTTCTAATGTCATAATGAAGTAGACGTTTCTACAGGACTTGTGCTCTCACCACAAAACTGACCACAGGGATTCCCCACTAACACGGGAGGGAGGGTTGAAGGCCAGACAGGACAGGGGATGCTCTATGCCTTAGCCCCTAAGCTAAGCAAGTTTGTTTGGAGTTTTACTAGAGCATAAATACATGTCATGTGATGTTTCCAATAAAATGGAATATTTAATAATAATTGGTAAAACAAAAATATAGTTCCACCTTCTCTAATGGCAAAGAAGTTCTGCTCCCAGGTCTGAGCAAAATTATAACCGTTCTTAGCTAAAACACCTGTCGCACAGGAGGCCCTGCAGGAAGACCACACTATCTGTGCTATGGACTGTCTGAGAGTGGTTTAATGAAGCTCCTGCTCTTTGACATTTATGTTATAGCAAAAACAGATGATGGAATGAAAGAATCCTCTGTCACTGATGTCTGTGTCTAAACTTTCCACTCCACTCTGTCATTAAGGCTTTGAGTCAGTGACTCACTGATTTAGCTACAAATGTAATATAAATGAGTCGGAAAAGATTTCTCCTGATTATTCTCTTTGTAGAGCATTTAGCAGGTGTCTGTGCACATTAATCCATGACTTATGGGCAGGTTCTCTCATCTTCCTCTACAGAGAGCGGACAGTGCATCCGGACGTGGGCCCTCAACAGTCCCGGCTGCCCAACAGCACTGACACCACAGGGCCACGCCCATCTCCAACCCATGACTGGGTGCGAAGCCCTTCCCAGGACCGTGTCCAAAGGAGCATCTTCACAGGGTCATGTCACTGGGTCACAGCGAGATGGAATCTCAGTGGAGACGACAGGGACTGAGGAAGGCAGGGCTGAGTGTGAGCAAACACAGCAGGCAGGACGCTGCACAGTCAGAGAAGATCAGCAACTCCAGTGCCCGGCATTTCAGAAAGGAGGGAGACACAGAACCACCCACTGAGAATCTCACCTTACCTGAGTAAGAGCCATTCCTGACTCCTTTTCTTTCCTCCTCCCCGGCTTCCAGGCTTCTTCCTCACCCAACATGAGTCTTCAGAAGTCAATCCTGAAGGTCAAAAATATGCTGTTCAATGCTGAGAATCAATAGACCCTCTTTCTGTGCCACATTTACACAAAGAGGAAAGACCTCATCCTGTGTAAAAACAGTCCTCTCCTTCCCAAGGCACCAGGAGGGATGCAGGGACAATAAACTCCTACAGGAAGATCAACAAGTTAGTTTTTGACCCCTTTGATCAGACCTCACCACCCTCCTGGTGAAGCCCACACAAACATTGCAGCCGTGGGGAGCTGGGTTAGACTGAGCTCCCTGCCAGGACACCGACCCTGCCCTGACCAAACCCAATGTACAGCACAGCCCCCTTCACCCCTCTGTGGACCACAGACTGATCTCAGCCCACAGAAATGGAGGACACAGAATAGAATTAACTCAATATTGTTAAGGCTAGGCCCTCATCTTTTTGAATGAAAATCTCTGGTAAGGGGGCACAAGAGATGTATCTGCAATATGTATTAGCATTGTAATGTGAAGCCAGGGTTCAGCTCCACTCAGAGGGGCAAACCCAGCACACCTCCCACCATCTGGCTCTGCTCTCCCCTGGGGACCTGGCTGTCACAAGTATTCAGACAGTGGACAACCAAGGAACAAAAAGACACATGCAGAGCAGCCAGTATGGACCTGAGGTGAGGTTGAGGGTGTTGCCTGAATGTCAGATGGGGGGCTGTGGAGAGAAAACACAGAAGTCTTCACTGAGAAGGGGATATCAGAACAATGACCTGGGGAAAGAAGGGTATTTCAACCTGCAGCTGGGGGCCCAGAGTTTTAGGCAGAGGGATAGCCCATGTGGAGACCCTGAGGCAGGAGACCCTAGGAAAAGGAAAGAGGTCTGTGTGGCAGAAGCAGAGCCAGCGAGGAGGACACAAGCAGGAGATGAGGTCAGAAAGGTCCTGGGGGACACAGCAGGGAGGGCCCAGGTCCACAGATATTTCTCTCCCACACCTCGAAAGAATTTGGAAACAATGTATTTCTTCACCTGTTTTAAGTAAACATGGGATTTTTTTTCTTTATTTTATAAATTAATGCACTTACAATGTAGTATCATACATTTTAAATATATGACAAGAAGTTCATCCAAGCCCCAGAAAGTACAGGGTCGCCCTTACCTGGGATCTGGGGACTAGAAGGGAATGCATTTGGGGGAGTCAGGAAGTCTCTTTGGACATTTGAAGGTGGAGATGCCTGTTAGATGGCCCAGCAGATTGTTGAGGGGACCACTGGACACAGGATTCTAGAGCTGAGGGGAGAGGTCTCCACGGGAAACTTAGACATGTATGTGGGGTTTAAACCCTGAAATGAGACAATAAGGAAAGGCAGTGGGTGTGGACAGAGATGAGAAGAGATTCAAGGACTAAGCCATAGGTCACGCCACATTCAGAGAACAGGAAGTTCAGGAGACACCAGAGGAGGAAAGGAGATCAGGGAGGCATCAAGAAAATTAAAATAGATCTTTAAAGGTTAATGGGATGTCCTCTACACAAAGAAAACAGAAGACAAAGTAACCAACTATGCCACACGCTACTGATAGGAAATGAAAGATGAGGACAGGAAATTAAATATTAGATATAGAAATGGGGAGGTCACTTGTAACTGGAAAAGGATCAGTGGAATGCTTAAAGTGAAAGCTTGATTCAAGCTAGAATTCAAGGGTTCAAGCAAGAACAGGCAGCAAAGACTGAAGACCAAGTAAGAACAAGTTTTTAGTGCATTATGTTTTGAGATAGCACATAAGAGGGTACTTACAATAGAGGGAGATGTAGGTAAGAGTATTTTTGTTAAAAAGATGGAAGAGTAGAAGGATAACATTAATTTTGTGTGTATGTGTCTGTGTGTGTTTTAATGGACAAGATCACCATTGGGTTTGCTGATAAAAATAATTCCCTTGAAGTGAAAACTTACGAGACAGTACAGGAGGGATGCCACACTGTCCTGAGACTGCTAGTGGGGCTGGCAAGTGGTGCACAATCGCAGGGCCAGCAACAGCCAGGAGCAGGGACAGACCATTCCCAGTCACTACTGGGCAGAGATCACAGGTCCTGAGACAGAGGGGTGGGCCGGATGGAGAAGATCTCTTTCTTTACCGTTTGAGATAGGAAAAGGCAAACTGCTCATACTACTCACATTCAACACAGAATCCTTCACGTTTCGTCACCAAAATGTGTGTGTTATTTTCCTACAATGATCAGCTCTCTAGCAGAATCCCAGCTGGTGTCCTACAATTTAACTCAATTCTGACGCCATCTACAGGATAGCATCAGATGCCACTGGTTAAGAGCTCAGTCCCCACAAGACTGCGCCTCACTTCAGATGCACTAAGCAAGCAATAGCTGTCACCTCTGCTTCTGACTGACTTGACAAGTATTGTGGTTCTTTTAACCCTTCCTCTAGCTTGATCAATTTGCTAGGACAGCTCCTCCATCTGGCTGTTCATCTGTATCCTGTGTAATATCCTTTACAACAAATGGGCAAATGAAGTAAAGTGTTTCCCTGAGTACTGCGAGCTGCTCTGGCAAATCAACAGGACCTGAGGAGGGAGTCATGGGAACCCCACAATTTATACCAAGTTGGTGAGAACTTCAGTTCCCCAGCTGGGACTTGTGACTGGCATCTGAAGTGGGGGCAGCCTTGTGGAACTGAGGCCTCAGCCAGTGGGATTTGATGTTAACTCCAGGTACAGAGTGTTAGAATTAAGTTAAATTACAGAATGCCCAGTTGTGTCAGATGGAGAAAGGTTCTTGGTGGGGAGAAATCCCCACACATTTTGGTGATCAGAGGTGAAGTATTCTGTGTTGAGTGTTCACAGTTTTATTGAGTTTGACAGGAGAAAAAACACATTGGTTTTTCCTCCTAGTTCACACATTCCT